ACCTCTCCTATTGTTTTCTTTGTTTCCCAAATTGCAAAACGTAGCATGACCCATTGTGCAAGACCTGGTCATTCGTTCCCCCATGTTTGTTATGTGTGTCTTTCTCTGAACGGATGTTCTAAACTGCAAATTTCGTTCTGAATTGCATCTTTGATGATGTGTGTGAATGACAAAAAAGCTGATTCTGATTCTGAAAAGTATCATTTTTATATTTTGAATGTAACAAAATAAAAGTGAAAGTTATGATTAAAAAATATACTTTGTTAACTTTCAAATCCTCAAAAGAAATAGCTGAAGTACTGTAATGACGTAAATGTGCTTCATTACACGTCTGTTACACAGTGCTGGATCAAACTGGAACCAAACCAGCCCTGGTAGCTTTAACTCAGCCTGGTTAGGTCCTTTGTTGAATAAGACCCACAATAAAATAAAAATAAAATAATAATAAATTGATTATAACCTAGTGCTAACTAGATGGCATAAACTACCATTACTATTAGCTAATAGCATATATTAATGTTAATTTAGAAAAAAAAAACTCATTGTTTTTGGCCCAAAACCAGAAATTTCTTTGTTAAAGACAAGTGGTTAATGAAGACAACATCTTAAAAGTTGTTTTTATGGTCTTACCCTTACAAATAGAGGTCTGGTCAGGTACACATTGGTCATATTCTGGTTTAAAATGGCAGATTGGGAAAAATGACAATGGGTCATCTTTAATCTAGTCAAACCAAATCTTTGACTGAAAAACTATTACTCTGCTAATTAGTTTTTTTTAAATAGCTGGTAGTTTTTAGTTTCTGTACAAAAAAATAATAATAAAATAATTTAAAAAGTTGGATGACGTTAATTTGATCCCATTTTTCACATTAATGGTGAAAAAAAAGAAAAAGCTACAAGTCTAAATCTCCTCCAGGGAAATAGTGTGATAAATTTATTAGGTTGGGGATTGGTTCTCATCTGTTAGAGAGAACTTCTGCTCTTTTTACAACTACTGGCCTTATTTCAGTAAAATAAAATTAATGAAAGACCCCACATATTCAGTCTACAAGGAGATTTTATTCTAAAAAGGCAATATGGCATCCCGTTCAATAAAGCACAAATGTGTATTTCAGTGCTTTTAAAAGTTAGCCCTTCTGTCCTGCACTGCAACATCCTCTTTCACATTGTCCACTCTCAGACTGTATATAAATAAAAATACCATAAAACAGAGTAAAAGACCCTAATATATGGCTGCACTCTGGTGACAGTGATAAATCTCGCTTCCCTTGGTTAATGACATCTTCTTTGCCCTCCTGCACACATTTTCTATCACTCCCTGCCATGGCCAGCTTCTATTTATAGCCGCTATGTCCATTACAATACAACTATACCTCTCTCTTTCTCCCCTCCTTTTTTTTAAATGCACCTTATTCTTTCTGTCTTTTTTGCCCTTTCAGTCTCACTTTTCAAACCTTTAAACAAAATTTAAACTCCTCAGTTTAGATTTAGTCATGGGAGTCAAAGATGGACTCCTGAAGTCATCCTTGAGTTTTTTCTCCCCCCTCAAAAAAATCTTTTAAGTTTGGACTCCTTAAAGCTTTAAGATTTTGTTCACTTTTAAATGTGCAGCTAAGCATTGAAATATTTTTATTTTGTTTATGTGCAGAATAGCTGGTGATTTCTGCAGGATTTGTAGCTTTAAGACGGTTTTATCTCATCTTGATAATGAGGTAAATGATGATACTTTGTCATAAATTCATTAACCCTATAAATAGGGTTAATGAGATTAATGACAAAGAATCATCATTCAACCATAGATTAGATTGTAAAAGTGACAAATGTGTGTGTTTTATTTTTGGGGAAGAGTTGGCTTAATAACGAAAGCACTTAAAGAGAAATGAGTCTGGCAGATTGGACTTGAGGTGTGTGCATGATGAAGTGATCAGTGATTTTGTCAAGTCAGTTAGATTAGATTGCAACTGTAATGTTTTTTTGAATGTTTTGTTAATGAGCACACCTGAATTAGCTTTGATACAGAGGAAATGAGACACATTCATCACAAGTCGGCTCGAAACACTTGTTTTCCTCTGTTTGGGATTCTAAATCATGTTGATGGAACATCTGGAGTTTTAATCAGCTTTGTTCAGCACCAGAATCATTGACAGGTCCGAGGAGAGCCGTTTGAAGCTGACAGTGCCCTGCTTCGCAACAGTAATTACTGTGATGGCAAAACAGTGTGACGCGTTTTTTTTTTCTTTTCTTTTTGGGTAGTATCAGTTTTCCTTGTCTGGGCTTAATTCTCCTCTGGYTCTGGGTCAGACTCTGGTTCTGGGTCAGACTCTGGCTCTAACATGTAAGGCTGGATGGACAAGTCTTCCCTTGTTGACATCTTTGAATCAGTTTTTTAAATAAAAGTTTCTGCGAAGCTAGATAAACTACAAAAATGGCTGAAGGAAATTAGTTTTTATTCATTTCATTTAAAAACAAAAATCTTTATACACACAAAAAAACAAAAAAATTTCACAACATACATACCACAAAAAATATACAAATCCAAATTGAAATGAAAGGAGGCAGAAAGAAGAAAAAATCTTATATCTGCCCCTTTTTTCTATAGTTAATATCAAGCAATAATTATGAAGAAACAAAACAAAATAAAAGCTTCAACTCCTTCTCAAACAACAACTTTTGATATAATTATACAATTTCATATTTCTTTAACAAACTTATTTTTATCATTCTCTTAAAGAAATACATCAAACCGGCATTTTTATAATCACTTTCCAGATTATTCCACAATCTTATTCCTTGAACTGAAGTGCATCGGTCCTTCAAGTTAGTTCGAATTTTAGGTTTTATTAACATCTCAAGTTTAAGATTATGAGAACTTTCTTTTTAACAAAACATAACTGAATGTTTAAAGGTAACATTTTTTTAATGAGCCTTATACATAATCTGCAAGATATAATCAACCAACTCATAAAATTTTAATAATTTTAATTTACAAAATAATATATTCGATGGGTGACTGTAATGTTTTCTGGTGATAATTTTTACTGCTTTTTTCTGTAAAATAAAAATAGGATTTGCGATTATTTTACATGCTTTAACCCAGATTYCAGTACAGTAAGGAAGTGAAATGGACAAAGATTATTGGGAGTGATGGTGCGTTCCATTAGCACTCGGAAGTAAAAAATTTTCTTGCTCCCATTTGTAAATTTAAACTGCAACGCCTCCTCCAGTGGTAAATCCCATCTGGATAATGGGAGCAACTGCAACTACCCCCCAGTTTCAATTTCAAGATGGCGGCTCTTGCATCTTTAGAAAGTTGATACTCCATAACCTTTTCTGTTAATTATCATTCTTAATGTTTTTGTGCATGTTTAAATACAAGTAGTGCATCTTTTGTGCATTTTGTATGTTTTAAAATATTTTTTTTATTTGTATGACRGATGCAGTAGAACCCTCTTTGTCATATTGTAACAGTGTTGTAGCTAGGTTAGTTCAAACCAAAAATGCTAACACGATTTATATATTTGCTAGATTGATAAAAAACCTTTTTTGCTGTCAAAATATGAACAAAATGTAGATTGAGTATTAATTTGTAGTATTATTTTTCTTGATGACCTTAAGACTGCTGGAACAATTTATTCATTTAGTAGAATGTTAGGAGGTTTTTTTGTTATGAGATATGAACAAAATGTTGGTTAAGATTTGTATTTGTATTGTGATGCTGTTTGTTGCTTATTTGTAATTATATTGTGTATCTAGTTGAGTTTTATTATTTGTATGTTGTACGTATTTTAGATACATATATTTTTTTAATTGGGGGCAGAGGTTATAAGGTTTTTTCCTTCTTTCTGCTCCTTTTCATTTGACTACGTTGCAGTTGTGTTTTTCACACAACGATGTTGAATGATTTATTTGTTCTTTTATCATTTGTTTGTTTTATTACTACTTGTTTGATTGTTGAATGAAATGAAGTTTTGTGGGGGGAAAAAGCATTGCAGTTCCTCTTTAATTAGACCCGAATGATTTAAATGTGAAAAAGAAGAATTTAAAAACCTGACATGCTCCCTTTAAAACAACTTCCGTCTTAAAAGATTTCACAACAGTTCATGCAGTTTTTCTTAAACCGGCAGGACTTTAAAGGACCACAAAAATGTGCTTAGCTAATCAGATCAACAGACTCATAATTAGCTAGTCATTTCCTAATTAACACCCTTTATTTTTCATCTCATCTTTAGGTGACGGTTATTAGTGAGGACTGGCTTGTCATTAACTAATTATGAGTCTGGTAAGATGAAATGTGTAGGTAAGGAGTGGGAACCCATTATAWCATTTTGTGAAGTGGGAGGTTGTTTTTTTTTAAAACAGCACTGGCCCAGTTCGAACTAGCCATCAGCTCATCAATCTGGTCAGATTTACTCCATTTCTTCAGACTTGAAGTCATCAAAGAGCGATCTACAATTACAATATTAWTTGTTCAAAACCKTTCCACAGGACCCCACTTCCATAGATCGGAACGGTCGCTTAAAATTCTCATCTGCCCCTTTTGCCCTCATTTCTGTCCTCTTAGTGTTCCTGCTTGGCTTTATTTGCTCACCTTTCATCTGAAAATCATTGAACTCGATTGAACAAAGTGATAGAGTGAACCTTTCTGTATGGGTTGAGCAGGGGAGTTAAAGAAGGCAACCGCCCCTGAACTTACCTCCCAGTGCAACTAATTGCCTATAATTACACCTGACTGCTCCTGCAGAATGCAAATCAGTAGAGATCCAAACGTCTTATCCGCRGTGCAAACCTGCCTCGTGTCACTGTGCAACTGATGTGTGTACAGTGAACACAACGGCCTCAATAATATGAGTTTAGAAGATAAAATGATAGCACTCCTTCAGCTGTAATTACTTGCATCATATTGATTATTTACCTGAATGTGGCTTGTGTTAAGGAATCTATTGCAATTACACTTATCTAAAAAGGCCTGTTATCTTCTGTTTGTTTCTTCTTGCCCTCAGGGGGAATATTTGAATCCATCGAGAGTGGCCCCTCCGGAGCAGAGGAACTAGCCTTTAAATTTGCCTTGAACACAATCAACAGGAACCGCACATTGCTCCCAAACACCACACTGACTTATGACATCCAGAGAATAAACATCTTTGACAGCTTCGAGGCTTCCCGGAAAGGTGAGTGAAGGATCGAGGAAAAAAAAAAACGCATCAAGCAGAACTTCAATTTCATCAGATTTCCGTGAAACATTTTTTTCTCCCCCACAGCCCTTAAAGACAATTATTGTGATGCCTTCTCACTTATTTTTTTTATTCAAACCTGATGCAACAAATGCTCCAACCTTTCAAGCTTGGAACACATCAACATATTCATGGCTCAGTTTTACTCAAAGGATAGACTTAATCTGTGACAATAAAAGACTAAAAATTTACCTTTTCAAACGGATTTATTTTAATGGTCCTATCTTTTAGAAGCTGTGAAAAAATAGTGACAGATCAAAATTTCCTGAAAACCTTGATGTCTTTGAAGAATCTTTATGAGAAGGTTTAGGTTTGTTCTGCACACTGTTGACACCACTATCAACAAAATATCATAAAAAACATAAAAGCAATCAATTCTAATCTAATCTCATTTCTTGTTTATTAAATTTTGAAAAGTGGCACTGGCCTAAGTGCTGCAAACAGAAAAAATAAAAACACCAACACAGGGAGTCATGACACAATATGGGGAATTTTTATAGTTGAAACTGTAAATTTTACATTTTAGAGTTGCTCTTCGTTCAGAAACCAGAAATTAATATAATATAATATAATATAATATAATAT